GTCTACACTTTTGCACAAATTCTAGAGATATGGCTTCTCCCAGCGATCTTTTCATTCTAGGGCTTGCTATAAATTTGTTAATTTGAAATTATAATTGATATTAATAATTTTGAAAATTTTCCTCTTTGTATTATTTGCAGGTTCTCAAACAGATTGAAACAATTATAAAGTTAACGTGGATTAGGAACACACATTATGTGGAAAGGTAAACAAGCCATTTGATGAACACTCTTACAATCCATAGTAATAGTTTCTATTTTCTTCCAAACGAAGGGCTCATATAGGGGAAGAGCGGAGTCAGACTAGTTCTGTCTAGAAGGTTGTTGAGGAAGGTAGTTCAATATAGACTGGCTTCCAAGTAGGCTATTTGCTAGTTACTGGTTTCTTATTAACCTGAATTTTGGCGATCATGGATGAAGATGGGTTTGAATATCTTAAATCCTGCTTCAGAACCTACTCCACTTCCAGTTTGCAGCCAATTCTGCTTCAAGTCATTAACTCACCCTTTCCCTGTCTTTTCTGCTGAGTTTTGACTCCATGCATGTAATCTATAACATCAAACATGGAATCCCTTATTTTGGGTATTATTTAATTCATCGCTTGGTTTCAGGTTGGTGGATGAACTTGCTGCTTTGTACAAGGAAGCAGCATTGAAAAGGTCTCGTGAAGAAATTAGAAATCTTGTTATTCGGATACTGATCCTGCTCCACCAGTAAGGATTATGCCTTCTCCCCATATTCGTACAGCAATTATATGAACCTCCTCCTTGATTATCATTTATTTATTTAAAACCCTTCCTGTGATTCCCAGATGCAAAGGTCTGCAGTTTGAAACAGTCTGGGGCAAGCACAGAGATGATCCAAACTTGGCAAGCATTGTTCCCTCTTTGGGTGAAACAAAAACAACAATGGTAAGTTACCTTTTCATGCAGCAGATATGCTATAATTTCACCGCACTTCTCAGCATAGGATCAAAGCGAAAGATAATTTAACAATGTAGCCATGCCTTGTAGGCTACTTGATCCAATTAGGTAGTCAATAATATTATGTGAAACATTTGGGACTTAATTTGGGTAGGGCTGCCCTCAAGTCTCGGTGCTTTACTGTGCTTCTGCTATTTATTCACTTCACCTAAATTCCTCTGTAGAGGTCTCATTGTGAAAGAATTTTAATGTTTATAATCCATGGTTTTGTAATGCAGGTTGCCCAATGATCATATGGGAGAAAAGTTTAGTCTTGTTGTGTACAGAAGGAGATGACTTGCAGATGTGAATATGACTCTTGATAGCATACAACATTGTCTATATTGGCAGTTAGATTGTATTTGAATGTACCCCTGAATTTCTCCCCATTTTAATCGTCACTTGATCACTTGTAGCAATGTTCTTCATCAAATGACCTCTACCTATTCTCTTTTATACTTTCCCGATCCGACTGATGATGCTAATGGTTGAGCTAAATTCAATAAAAAACAATGAGAAATTCACAATATAGCTGATGAGAAGCTAATTCATGTAAGCTCAAGAGAACGGGGGCAGCAATAGAGTGATGCTATGTATAAATTGAGATCGGAAGAACATTTCATTCCAATTTAACTAATAAATAATTCTCGAACAATTTAATTGATGTCCTTTTTTATTAACGGGTTGGAGGATTCGAACTTGGATTTCTTTCAATATTGGAAAGAGAAGTACCTATCAAATGCTAAGGAAACTAAAACATTTATCAGTTATTAGGATTCAGATCAATTCTTTATTAAGAAAAATTCGTCTAAGGCAAATGCATATTGATACTGGGCCCGGGCTGAACGTTGGAAGTCTATCCACAATCCATATCCAGTCCATCAATCTGTAAATACAAACAAGCCCAGCATTCCATTCACCGCCTCAAATCACGTGGGCGCATGACACTAACAGCCTCCTCTCAACTAACTTACACCCAGTGCGCACTACGCGACCCCCTCCCGGCCCCAAAATGAAAAAACTCAATTCCCGCGCCAAAACTCTTCTCCAACAGCATAACTAACTAATAACCATCTTCCACATCACACTTCCAAGACTCCCTCCCCTCATTTGCAATTCCATTCAAACCCCAAGAAACTCCCTCCAAAGCTCCATAACCATGTCCTCCTACTTCTTTCTCTCTCTCGCCGCCCTTCTCTTCACCCTCTCTCTCCTCCCCGGAAGCACCTCGCTTCCCACATCCACCACCACCATTGGCGCCACCTACTCCTCCGGAACCGCGGCCACGTACGCCATGCCGCCCACTCCAGAGAAGGTGGCCCACGCCGTCGCCGCCCTCGGCCTCCGCTCTCTCCGGCTCGACTCCTCTGACCCGACCCTGGTCCGCGCCTTCCTCTACTCCAACACCACCCTCCTCCTCACCATCCCCAACCAGATGGTCCCGCCCCTTGCCGCCAACCGCTCCAACGCCCTCCGCTGGCTCTACGTCCACGTAGTCCCCTTCTACCCCCGCACCAAGATCTCCACCATCTCAGTCGGCAACGATCCTCTAGAATCTTCCCCCGACTTCTCCACCTTCCTCCTTCCTGCCATCCGCAACCTCCATCTCTCCCTCCGCGACCTCGGCATCCGCAAGATCTCAGTCTCCACCACCTTCTCTTTCATCAGCGTCATTACGACGCCGTTTCCCCCTTCCTCGGCCCAATTTCTAGAGCCCGCCCTGGACACCGTCGTCAGACCCTTGCTCCAGTTCCTCCGCGACACCAATTCGTCGTTCTTGGTCAATCTCTACCCGTACAACCTCTACAAGATCCGCAGCGAGATTCCAATCGGGTTTCCCCTGTTTCAGGAGCACCCTTTCGGCTTCCGTGACGACCTCACCACCGGCGTCCGGTACCGGAACCTCTTCGACATGATGGTCGACGCCGTCATTAGCGCCATGGCCGTCGCCGGTTACGAGAATATTCCGCTGATTGTGACCGAGACTGGGTGGCCGAGTTTCAGTACCGATCCGACCGAAATTGACGCCAACCCGGTTTACGCCGAGCTGTACCTCAAGGGTCTGCTGTGTCATCTGAGGTCCGGAAAAGGCACGCCGTTAAGGAAAGAAGGGGTGTCCGAGACGTACATATATGAGCTGCTTGATAAGCAAATGAGGAAGGGGCGCAATTGGGGGATACTCTACCCCAATCTGACCGCCAAGTACAAGTATATTCAGTTCTCTGGGTCCTATTGCAGAGGTTTCTTTGACATGTTGATCATGGCGGTTGGCCAATTCTTGGTCTTTGCTTTCTTGCGTGGTAATGGATCCTTTTCTCTACTCTAGATTGTGGACTGTGATTAAGCTTCAGCTACTTAGTTTCATTGTTTGGGTAGCTCTGTTTTTTGATTCTTGGAAGTTTCTTTGAGATGCTGATCATGGAAGTTGGGCAATTCTCGGTCTTTGCTCTTAGACTGTGATTTAAGTTCAGTTGCTTACTGTCATTGCCAAGAAAGTAGCTCTCGGATTTGGAGGCTCCTTTGTCAATTGGGTTTATGGAGAAAGTGTTGTTAATTTTTTGTATGTGCCTTCTGAAGATGGTGTTGGGGCTTCATAAATGTTCAATTTGGGTGCTGCTTTGCCAATGGAATTACTTTTTGTGCTCTGTCATTAGGGGTATTTTGTATAGGAAATAGTCTTTGTGATGTAGTCAATTGAACTTCCATTCCCCTTGAGGTGTGAACAGATTTCAGTGCATGTTTTTTGCAGAGAAAATTATGTGAAAATACAGTTAGATGGTTCACTTTCGTTTCACTTACTGCCTATCTGGATGGTCTGAATGATGAGCTCAAAATTGAAAATTGGCATCTTGCTTGGCTGAAATGTTTAATTTGAGATTTGTTCTTTCTGTGTGTTGTTGCAAGTTATGACAGGTTTCATGTTTTAGCTTCTCCTCCCTTTCACAACCCTGAAAAAACTTATCAATTAGTCCAGTACATAATACAATCTTGTCTGGTGATTGAATTCACCCTTAGTTTAGGATTAATCTGCTTTTTTGCCTTAAATTCTGGTCATTGAAGTTTAAGTCACCTTTCTGTAGTTTAGAAAGACCAAAACTGAGAAATACTCATGCACCTTGGCATGATGAATCAATAAATAAATGGAGGATCCACTCATGCACCTTCTACAATTAACCATTTGACCAGCGATGAAAATATTAATTGAAAGACCTGAAGAAGATTTGGTTCCTTTTTCTATAGTTCCCAATTGAACCCTGCAAGTGCAAGAATTGGTTATTTTTTTTCAGTGACACTGTGGTTGTTGAACGCAAACTTGTTGGTAATTATAATCTATGCAATATTACAAACTCATGATGTGCAAGAAACTTGAGAAATGCAGCAAAACATCTCACATTTTAAAAGAATGCCAGCAAAAGTTCAAGTTGCCTTGTTTACCATGGATCTTGGTTGCTAAATAATTTAGCCAGTTACTTAAGCAGGACAAATTTACAAGTGTAGTATAAATAAGCAATAAGGAAAAAGAAAAAAGCTATTTTCATAAGGAAAAAAAAAAATGATCCCAAAAACAGAAAACAGAAAAAGATGAAAGCCATCTTGTATTAACAATTGGTGGGCACCAACGGGGTCTAGCCCAGTTGAAAAGGGCATTGACTTGCAGATTAGACCAAAGGTCTAAAGTTCGAATCCCCACAGCATTATAGTTGTGTGTGTATGTGCGTGAAAAATCCCTCTTCCCGTAATTTAGACTATCGCTTGTAATAAAATAAAAAAATAGTGGGCTGACTGGGAAAATTGTTTGATGACCATATACATGGGCTTGGGTCTATTGCAAAACCCAGAAAAATAAAAAGATTTTCTAATGTAGTTGGGCTTAGTACTGGGCCGTCGTTTTTACGTTTCAGAAACACTCAGTGTCTCGACTCGAGGGGGACTCTGCTGTCGTCTTCTTCTCGAGGGGGACTCTGCTGCAAAAGTACAATTCCGGCCCTTTTTAAATCCCAGGTATGGGGTTATCTCCTCGTTTCAATTTCCTTTTATTATTTATGTAATTTATATGGCTGAATTTTATATTAGATTTACAGAGATTGTTTTCACTTGCGAATTGTTCATATGCCTCTGAATTATGGTAAATTATATGTGACTTGAGAAGAGCTTTTGAAGCCCCTTCCGAGGCTCTGCTTTCGTCTATGGCCTGTGCCTCAGATGGGTATTATTTATTTTTTGTGTTCGAAAAATCGGCCTAGGCAGTTATGGGCGGGTCGGGTCCTTTTTTTTCCTGACTCTAATGAAAACCTACCTCACGCTGCCTCTCTCTCTCTCTCTCTCTCTCTCTCTCTCTCTCACGACAGACCACCACCACCAGCACCAGGCCTCGACCCGCGACCTGCGACCTCCTTGCCCATTTCTTAGAGGCCTAGCCTTTCATTTCAAGTATTTTTCTTTGTAGTTTATTTTCTTGAATTGTTATTGCATTTTGAGTCGGGGGTTCATTTTGATTTTCTGCTTATTGCATTTGGGGCGTTTCATGTACTATCTTCTCAACATAAAGTTAGAAACTTGCATCATTAATTCAAGGGGCAATACAGATCATCTCTTTTAATCCTTTTACTCAAGCAAGTGATCAACAACAATATCAACTCGGTAGTAATTGTTAAAAAGGTTTTTATTTTATGTTTGGACTGCAAAGTTAACTTGATGATTCAAAGGTTTTTGACATTTGTTTTCTGCCCTTCTTAGTGGTGCTTTGATGTTGACAGTTGGACACTGAACAGGAAAATAACAAGGTCTCTAGCTGTCTTGCAATATAGAATTCTTGTTCATCTTCTTATTTATTTTCGATGTTTTCCCCATTTTTTGAAGTTCATAGTAAATACCTCCTTGAGTTCTTGTGTTTTTTGTTTTGAGTTCAAGGAAGTCTACACTTTTGTTTTCAATTGTGCTATAATAATGAACAACTAATCTTGCATTTTATCACGCCTTTGAAAAATGGCAGAAGAGTTGGAATTGAGTGAAGGATGCTTAGCTCATCAACCCCAAAAGCCACTTGGACGCCGGGGCACCGCAAAATATTTTTTGATCTTTGCCTGGAAGAGATGTCAAAAGGGAATAAGCCAGGGACGCATTTCACCAAGGAGGGTTGGAGGAATCTTATTGAATCATTCTATGAAAAGACAGGTATAAGGTATAGTAAGAGACAAATGAAGAATCATTGGGATTTCACCAAGAAGCAGTGGAAAGTCTGGGTTAAGCTAATTGCTGAAGTTAGTATGAAATGGGATCCAAGTACCAATGGATTTGGTGCTAGTGCAGAAGATTGGTCTAACTACATACAGGTATGCTATATTGAAGAAAGATACTAGGGAGTTTCTTCATGAATTTTAGATTAGTGATTGCAAGTGCTTTGTCACAGGTAAACCCAGAAGCTGCACAGTTTCAGTATAAAGAACTCCCATGCCCTGACATACTGGAAATCGTTTTTACTGGAACTATGGATTCTGAAGATATGGAACCTTCTAATTCTCGGAGGCAAAGTAATAGCTCGGACACCTCCCTTCTGCACTCCGAAGAACAAGAGTTAGTGACTGTGGAGGGGGGAGATGAGCATCTTTCGAATGCCATTCCCTTAAGGAGTTATGAAATGGGTCAGTCTAAACACCGTAGAACAACCGCAAGTGAGCAGAGTATATCTAGCTCATCCCAGCCAAAGACAAAGGCCATTTGGATGCCTGCAACCCATGAAGTATTTCTTGATCTATGTCTAGAAGAGGCATTAAAGGGGAATAAACCCGGGACACATTTTACCAAGGACGGTTGGAGGACTATTGTTGAATCCTTTCAACAAAAAACTGGCCTTATGTATAATAGGTTACAGTTGAAGAACCATTGGGATATCACCAAGGAACAATGGAAAGTCTGGTGTAAGCTAATTGGCACAAGTAGTATGGGTTGGAATCCAAACAGCAGAAGATTTTCAGCAAATGATGAAGATTGGGCCAACTACTTAGAGGTATTGTAGACAATTGACAGTAACTGTTTCTATCTATTTGAAAACTAGGGAGTTCTTAATGATTTTTGGGTTGGTAAATCATATTGGTTTTGTTTTGTTACAGACAGACCCAGAAGCTGCACCATTCCGCTTTAAGGAACCTCAATCCACCGACAAGTTGGAAACCATATTTGATGGAACAACAGTTACAGGAGAGACAGAGCCTCCTGCTAGGCGTAGGAAGTATAATCATGATTTGAGTGCATCTCTTTTGCATATAGAAGAAGCAGGCACAGTGAACCGAGAGAGGGACGTTGAGCATCTTGATGCTGTAACACTTTCTTTTATGCCAGGCAAGCAAACTTATAGCATTGGGGAGTGCATTGCCTGTCTTGATGCCATGGAGGAAGTAGAACAAGGAAGTGAGCTCTATTTGTTTGCATTAGATGTATTTCTGAAAAAGGAATACAGGGAAATATTTCTTCAACTGAAAAAGCCTAGTGTAAGGATTGCATGGTTGCGGCGGCTGCAATCTGTTGGTCCTCCTTTGTTCTAGGATGCTTGTTAGCTCTTTGATTTCTCATGTAATTTTAGACAGCTATTATGTAGGTAGCAAGTAGAGTTGCTTTTCTATGGAAGCCAAAGGCAAAGTGATTGTGGATTTTATCATAGCTATTGTTTATCTTCCCCGGATTAAAATATCTTTTATCGTATTAACCAGTGAAGTACTATGATCGGAAGAAAAAGTAAAAATGAAGTAAAAGTGGGGCAATTTACTGCCCTTTGTGCAAGTCATGAAGAATAATTACAACAATTATAACACAAATAATGTTTTCTTTTTACAACATAACACTCAAAGCAGAACCGATGCTATTTACATGGCTGGATTGATTTCAAAATCAAAATCTCCATACGAATCTATATGAACTACAAATATCAACGGTGCCAACTTCTGTGTCCCCAACTTTGGGGTTCAAAAACTGTAATAAATTGGGTTTGGAAGCTTAAAAATACGCTCTCCTAAAGATGTGCCTGTTAGAGCATCCATGTGACTGCTTATAGTGCCTATTATGCGCAAGCCTTTTCTCTGCATTGCAGCCCTTTGTTTAGAGAAGTAGTCACAACTATCCATTTGCAAATCATCTTCAAATCTGCCAGGCAACCATATCAATCAACGCAGTTGACATCAAAATATTGAATACAATAATCTTCATTCATATCATCACTGGCACAAGGCAAATAGAGTTCCAAGGAATCTGAAGCCTCTCAGTAAGTAGTTTTATATACAGAGATCAACGAAAGAAGGGGTCGTACATAACAATACCTCATAATCAGTGAAGACCAAGCTCTAAATCCTGCAGATATAAGATAATCTATGGAGGAATTCCGTTGCGTCTCTGGCTTTCTTGATAGCAAAATCAAAGGCCACCTACTAGCATGAAGTTTCATGTACAGTCTCAAAATAAACACGTGCTTCAGCTGCTTTGCCTCTTCCACACAATCTCTAGAACCATACTGATCATCTCTGTGCAAAAAGACAATTTGTAATGAAAAAGTGTAACATGAAAAACCTGAACTAACTACTTTAACATGTGAAAGAAAATTCATATAAGAAGAACACATGCTCAGAGACTAAACGGAAAATTACTGGTCCGCTAACAATTTAATGTACTGGGGATTTGAAGAAAGAATGTCATCTATGTCCATCAAGACCACATCCACACCATCACGTTTTGGGGTAATACTACTGAAATAATTCTGAATCATCCACATGGTAGAATTTAAATCTCTTGCATATTGGCCTTCTTTGATGTATTGAAGGGCAACAACCCTGCAAATTGAAGGGAAGTGGTCTGCTTCAACTTTGTTGAGTTCCACATGCAGAGAGACGATCTGGCAGTAATTGTAATCATAACTTGGTTTTTCAATCTCAATGACTCCATGGCTCCTACTTTGGCAAGACTGCAGCATTACGGTCAACGCAATCAGCAAGGTGATTAATATTACCCCAACAGTTACAAGTGCACCAATGAAGATCGTGGAAGCAAAAGACGACATGTAGAACCCTGAGTCCATTACATAACTGCTTTGCCTTCTCCCTGTGTCCAAGAAAACAGAACAAGATCAACAGCTGATTAATTAAGCTCAACATGCTTTGATTATATGGCCTAAAGGTATAACACGCAAGAACATGCAGAAGAGCTCAAGAGCAACGTGTTTAAAGACAATATGCATAATTTTAGCAAGAGGTTTATTTTGAAACAAATAACACAAGTACTGTATAGAAGCGCTAATACTAGCTTTCCATTTTCTGATCATAGATAAAAGGTTCTAAATATTTCTCAACAAATCCACACCACCACCAGTAGTTTAGGACAGCCTAATTAAGTTGGAAATTCCTGCAATCTGCAGCACGGTATCACATACCAGAACCTCTACTTGAAAGACTGTGAGCAGAGTATTGCTGCTCCATTTGATGGCCATAAGCAGACATGGTTATAATCCAAGCAGCAATCACCGGCTCAATTAGTCTGCAAAAGAACTCCAGCTCCCCTCCCAGTCCATAGAAATAGAAGGGTCACCTGCAATTTACAAAGTGACATCAAACATCATGTAAACGGCTACCAAACGCACATATCAGATTCTCAAATTTTATGCCTACAACATTGTGCTGAACAAAAGTTTCAAAAGAAATCGCAATTTTCTACAAGTAAATGATCCAGAACACCCAAGAATCCATAGATATATAATATTTCAATTTTCAGAGGCATCCATGATCCACTTAAGCGTGCAGCTTGTTCAGCTGATTCTATCACTCAAAAATTTACCACCCAAATTAGAACCATCTCCAGTTAAGCCATACCCAAGAAACAGCATCAATTTAGGCAAATCTAAACCTTCTGATGACCTAATTCCATGAAAGTACATAAAACCATGAGCTGGGTCAACAAGATCATCAAATGATTAGATTAGAATCACATCTAATAAGATAAATCAATAATGGCTATCCGATCCATTTACAGTATAAGTACCAAATGGTTGACAAAATTGCCACTCTCAACTAATCCAATATTATTTGTTTTTCCGTGATTTCGAAATTTAGCCCCACACAGTTAGCCATGAAACCAATAATACAAGCTGACGATCATCTTGTCAATCTCAACAAACAATCAAAGTCAAATCAGATGGCTTCTCAACAACCAAAGCTACAGAGAGACACAGAGAGAGAGAGAGAGAGAGTGGAAATGGAGAATACCTGAGAGCGAGAGATACATTGGAAAGATGGAGGAGAGTTGTCTTAAAACAAGGAGTAGATTATCCAGCTCTCTCTCTCTCTCTCATTCTCGTAAAGAAGCTTCCTTTCTACAAAGTACCCATATCATCATGATTACAAAAATCAAGGGTAGTTTGGTCAAAAACGCAAATTTCTGTATTAAGGCCACTTATGATTTTATTGACAAGAAAAAAAAACTTATGGTAAAAGTTAAATCTTCCCGTAAAATATTGAAATTCTTATTCAAACCCTTTCTATAGCAACGGGTTGAGAACTATTATAAGAAATTGAACTCATAATCTCTTGTGGACCAATCGAGTAGAATTTGCTACCAACTCTAAATTTGTGTTTTGTTTTAATTTCTCTAAATTAATGTTCAGATGGTTTTGGTTTCATAGTATTAGTCATAATAAATAATAAAAAAGGCGAGAAATTTATATCTCAAGTGGTTAAGTGTATTTTCTACATCCGAGATCCTAAGTTCGACTCCCCTCCCCAATATCACATATATATAATAATAATTAAAAAGATGCATTGAAGATATTACAATGTGAAAACCTTATCGACTCAAAAACATTATTGTATGACGACTGTCTGGTATAATCCAGTCTTACCTACACAATTTTCTTGTCTATATATATATATATATATATATATATATATATATATATATATATATATATATATATATATATATATATATATATAGATTACCCTTGTGCAAGATTTAAAATTTATTTAATCTTCCGCATTTTTCGAAATAATTTACAATTTTTCTTTGGATTATTCAAATATATATATAGAGGTCAACATGAATTATCTTGTTATGGGAGTTGTCCATTGTCATAATCAGTAGAGACAAGCTGGGATGATCATTGATAATATATTACATACATATACAGGTCAAGATGAATATTCCTGTTGTGAGAGTTGTCCGTTGTCATAATCTGTGGAGACAAGCTGGGATGATCATTGATCACACGCAATAAACTCCTCTTCAATTCGATAGGAATTGAGCCAATATCTGATTATCTCTTAATTATCAGCCACAATAAGCGCTTTTTCTGCGAGCACCCACAATCTTGATGCCCCAAGGGGGGTAGGTAGGTACTACTAGGTACTAGGTAGGTCACTCGTACACACTCTGAGGTAATCAAAGTGAGGTAGATGGGAGAGGGGTTCACAGCAATGGCTTACCAATTTGAACTAAAATACACTAATTTTCTATCACCCCTTTTTCCTGAATAAAGAAATAACAAATTTTAAAAGATGATATCCTGATTTGTCACACGTATTACGTACGTAGTCCGTGGTCTAACCTAACTCTTATCTATATCTTGCTTATAAAATGAAGGTACGTATCTAAGAGATGAAATGTTTAAGCTTTTTTCATCAGTTTCAAATTTACTACATAGACGCTCATGAAAAGAGCTTCAACAGAAAAAGGAGATAAGTCATCATCACCAGCACAGCAGAATGAAGAGTAATGAACAACTGGCTTTCATTCTGCTGTGCTGGTGATGATGACTTATCTCCTTTTTCTTGCCATTTTCTTTGTCATTTTTCCTGGCACTTTTTGCCACCATGCGGTTCTTCTACGGGCTCTGCACAAAGGATTATTACATTGCGGTAAGTAAAGTAGTAAAGCCAGATTTCTGATTTCATTTCTTGGGTTTGACTTTGAGGCTAATTATGTCACTAACTTCATCTCCTATATTAATCTGACGATGTCATTGGATGGCCAGTGGCCAAATCCCAAATGTATGCTGGGATTCTTTTTAGGCATCGCTCAGATGATCCTATACCTCAGATACAAGAATTCAGGGAAAGATGATGGGGAAAAAAATAAGGCAGTCGAGAGATGAAGAAGTTCATGAGCACCGCCAACTGCCCGAAGCTGATGCAGCCACAGTCTAAATGCCCTGCAACCATGAACAATAAATTATTACTTTTCCTGTATAAGAGAAAATAAATGATTACTTTTCTTGTATAAGAGCAAATGATGCAGTGGAACAAGAACAAAAGATAATTTCAAGCAAACTTAACTCCGTTGATTCTAAGAATACTCAGAATTAAAACTCTAATATGTTAATTCTGAGAATACCCAGGAAAAGAGTAAAGAGATGAGAAAAATCTCAATCTTCATTCAATAACAAACATCAACTCCCCTTTCTTACAATTTCATGCATTATTTATAGGAGCCTCTCAATCGAGATGAGATAACTCCTCACAACTCTCCTAAACTTTTCATATCCCAACTTCCCTCCTAATGATAATTTCACATTAAATCTCCCTATAACTCACAAAGATGAAAAGACTCTCCATAACTTTATTCATGAACCTAGATAACTCCCACATACGAAGAGACACTTATTTACTATAGGTTATTAAGACTTTCCTCATGCATGAACGTGATCCCAATGGTCCATGTATGTATTTGCTAAACTCACTGCATCAGAAAATCTGTAAACTCAATGTTCACATTAAAAAGTTTCTGACATTTATAGTCATGAGTCAGAGTCTCGATCTGCAAAACAAGCATAGTAGTTCACTCAGAAAGAAGAGAGCAATAATAAGCTTGCATGGCACTAGCTATGTCCCACCTGAAGAGGTCCATAATATCTCTCATTAAGCTTAAAATTTCAGGAACAAGGCTGAAGCTGCTACACTTGAACGTAGGTAGTAGGGGTTGGTGATGGATATGTAATGTTGGATTTTAGGAGGTGTGTGACACTCTGATATAACTTGTTAGATTACAGGGTGATTGTGAATGGTGTTGATCTGACACCATTGTTGGTTTATGTGATGAAGGGGTTTAGGACAATAGGACAATAGTTGAAACAAAGTGATTTTATTACATTAGAGGAGAATAGTAGATAGATGTAGGCTAATTAGCCTTCTTCAACTAGAAGGTGTTTAGTGTATAGGCTTATTGGCCTCCTTTCTTGCTTATATAGGCTTATTGGCCCTCTTTCTCTCTTAGCTTGGTGAACTTATTGGCTCCCTTAGTTTGGGAGTTGGCTTGTTCACTCCTCATTTAGTTTGGGAGTTTATTGGTTCACTCCACCTTGCTATATTATATTGCATGCCTATTTATAGGCATTCTTTGCCGACATCACCAAGTCCGCCGACTTGGCCTTCTTTTTCTAGTCCCTTTTGTTGTGGCTTTTACTAGAAACTTCTATATTGTATAATATTATTTTGTGGCTATTAGCCATCATGCTCCACCGCTATAGTCTAGCAACATGAGTGTTTTTGAGAATAGATTGTTGGTTCGTTATCCATAATGTTTCGAGATATCATTATTTTCATCAACAAAATATATCGACAAGTTATCGATGCGTGTCGGTTAATTATGAGAATGTTTGAAACTTATATGTATAATTTAAAAAGTATTTGAGCTAAAATGATACATATTTTTAAGCAAATCGAGTTCTTTTTAGGTTCATATTTGTTGATTAGGGGTTGCATAGCGTGCTTATATTTTCTGTGTTGATAGTGTGATTGTGTTTGAAATTACGTGGTTGCTTATACTCGCTATTGTAGTGATTATAAGGTGGGATCTGCTTTCACTGAGGTCCTACATGAATAATAACAGACGAGATGGCAACAGTACGTAAGCAGAACAACGGCCGTTGGGCGCAAACTTACAAACAGTGGGACTCCTTTTCATATCTCTTGGGAGGAGCAGAGCAGAGCAGAGCAGAGAGAGCCACACATTTGAGATTGAGAGCCATGCCTATGCCTAATCAACCTCACCTCATAAAACAGAAACACTTACGTCAGCAGCCGCCACGTGGTAAAACACCATTTACTGCTTATCTAGTATCCCCACCCCAACCCAACTTCAAGGGAAGCAAGCTCTCACCAAAAACAAACTTCAAAGACAGTGTTGTTGATCAGAACCAAATCTTTTGAGAGAAAGTAGCTAAGCTCTTGCTTTATTTTGAGCGTAATAAATTAACTTCTTTCTTTTGAGTACTTTTTTTTTTGTGTTGCCTGAAGCATGGAGGCCAGCATAGGTTGCTGCTCACCCAGGGCATTCCTGCCTGGTGTTTCAACCCATCAGCATTCCACTGCACTTGTGGCTCCACCTTCCATCTCTCCATCCTTCAGCTCCAAGGTCTGTAATTTAGACTCACCATTTCATTTCTACAAATATGTAAACTTACATCATGAAACCTCTAGGCTTTCACCACTTTTAGATGTTGATGATTATATGCACACAGAAAATATGTTACCAATCAAAGAGAGCTCTCTTTAGAATTTTCTCTGAGTGAGTTGAATTATTACATGGTGTTATTGGACCCTTCTGATTGCTGCAGAGCCTGAAATCAAGCTCCCTCTTCGGAGAACCATTACGACAAGTGCCAAGATCATCACTCAAGGTTTCAAAGACAAAACAGTCTTCCCTTGTCACCAGATGTGCAATTGGTGAGAGTCTGGTGAGTTACATAACAAAAACCAGCTTTGTTCCACATAACTTAAGAGTTAATCTGTCTAAGCAGCACTGAAGTTGTAAATGGAATTGTGGCTGTAGGAAGAGTTCCTTGCAAAGGCAACCCCAGATAAGGGACTGATTAGGTTGCTGATAAGTATGGGAGAAGCATTAAGGACTATTTCCTTCAAGGTGAGAACAGCTTCCTGTGGAGGAACGGCCTGTATTAATTCCTTTGGGGATGAGCAGCTTGCGGTGGACATGCTCGCTGACAAGCTTTTATTCGAGGTGAAGACCAAAACCCATGAGTTTTGATCCTGCTTATGCCTATGATTGGATGAAATTTTGAGGACAACACACACACACACACACACACACACACATATATATATATATATATATATCATAACTTTGATAGTCATTCTTCCTCAAATGTATCAGAATACAACCTTATTTTCAGGGTCGGCAATAAAATTAATGCCTGTTACATTTGGTGCTTAGGCCTTAAGCTACTCACATTTCTGCAAATATGCTTGCTCTGAAGAGGTTCCAGAACTCCAAGACCTGGGAGGCCCAGTTGAAGGTCCGCAAGTCCTATCATATGCAATTAAACTTCATATTTTATAATGAATTGCTCTATGATCTTAAAATTTATATCTTCTTAAGAAGGATGATCGAAAGGATGACCTAATTATCGGACTTTTTGCAATTTGAACAGGTGGATTTAGTGTTGCTTTTGATCCACTCGACGGCTCCAGCATTGTTGACACAAACTTCACTGTAGGCACTATCTTTGGTGTGTGGCCAGGAGATAAGTTAACTGGGATAACAGGAAGAGACCAAGTTGCTGCAGCCATGGGAATTTATGGTCCTAGGACTACATATGTTCTTGCTATCAAGGGCTTCCCTGGAACCCACGAATTTCTTCTTCTAGATGAAGGTGAGATTGTAACAATGTCATCAAGTTTTCTTTAAGCAACCAATGTTCTTCATATGCCATTGTAAAATTTGTTGCTGCCACCTTGAAACCTTCTATGAACCGAAAAAAAAAAAACAGTTCATCATAAGTATGAGGTACTCAATTCTGCTGACCTTAGAATGAATCAATGTCTCACACTGTCTTGGTCAGGAAAGTGGCAACATGTCAAGGAGACAACAGAGATTGGTGAAGGGAAATTATTCTCCCCAGGAAATTTGAGAGCCACATTTGACAACCCGGACTATGACAAGGTTTGATTTCCTCTAAAGCAATATTGCATTACTACTGCAGTCCTTATATCAGTAAATTATTAACCACCACGTAGTTCCATTAATTTTTGTGAACTTCTTCTGTTTATGAACAACAGTTGATCAACTACTATGTAAAAGAGAAATACACGTTGAGATACACCGGAGGAATGGTGCCAGATGTCAATCAGGTCCTGTCAACTTCTCCTTAATCAGTCTCCTAATTTTAGTGAGATTGGCATCCACACAAAATCGATATTTTGTGGTTGGCACTCTTAAGAAGTTAAAAAGTTTAAGATTTCTTTACCTGCAGATACTTGTAAAAGAGAAAGGAGTTTTCACAAATGTGATATCTCCAACTACCAAAGCCAAGCTCAGGCTGTTATTTGAGGTAGCTCCATTGGGGTTATTAATCGAGAACGCTGGAGGTTATAGTAGTGATGGTCACCAGTCTGTATTAGACAAAGTGATTGTTAATCTGGATGACAGAACACAAGTTGCGTATGGATCCAAAAATGAGATAATCCGGTTCGAAGAAACTCTATACGGATCATCCAGGCTCAAGGCAGGGGTGCCTGTCGGAGCTGCAGCCTAAGCTATGCAGTTTGCTATTCATACAGAAGTTTGTATAATGGTGCATAAATTTTCCAATATGGTGGAGAAGAATTACAAGGTTAAAAGTTTGTCAATGGAATGGATCAATCAAGTTGGTTTATAGTTAATCTTTAGTTCACATGTGTATTTATGGTTTTCAAATTTCAATCAGATTCAAAGGCTTACTTGTTAAAGTTGTGTTAGGTATAGTGCAGATTGTGCACCTTATTCATAATATTATAGCAAGTAGGTGGGTGTTTACAAAGCATCCAAAGGTTTTTTAAATTGTCTAAAGTAGAAATGTTTTCCATATGATTAATATGCTGTTTGTGGGAACCGAATTAATCCTTAACCCTAGGTCAAATAATTCCTTCCATTTGGGGATTATTTGACCTAATTGGGAATTATTCAATTTAATTAGGGATTACCTAATTAAATAGAATGTTACCTAATTGGGTTGATGATTGATTTGATTCCTAGGACGATTCTCAATTAAAGGAGGAGTTACCTAATTAAATTAGGTATTGATTTGATTGCTACCCTGATTAGGGATCTGATTTAAATCAAATAAATCAAATCCCTAATTAGTCAAATCTCGCCAAATTGGGGAGGAATAATTCCTTTCCATCTACGGAATTATTC